GTGAATTCTGGGAGTTGAAGTCCACTCATCTTAAAATGGCCACGGTTGAGAAACACTGCACTGAGCAGTTTGGAAGCCCTGAATTAATTCCTTGTGCAAATTAGGAAGTTTGCCGGTGAAGGCTAGTTAGTAATTTCCTGATCAGGCAGCAGAGGCTGCAAAATCCTGTTCCAAACCAGGAATTCCAGCTTAAATGCCCAAACGGAACTACTTTTTCTCCATGCCGACCCCTTCACGACATAAAAAAGACGCCAGCATCCCTAAATGTAGTTTCAAAGGGATGACCTCCAACGACGGGGGGAAATAAACTCCTTTTTATACACCCATAGTGCAGTAATTCATCAATCTTCATTTGCCGGACAGGTGAACGGATCCATGCTATTGGTCGAAATAAATTCTTCCCATTTTCAGGGCAAAAGAGGAAACCAAGGGGCAAGAGGAATATTGTACTAAAATAAAGTCGTTCGTGCCCTGAACATCTGGGCCATTTTCAGTAGGAGGTGGGCTCTTACACGGCAGGGTTCAATTGCAGGTCAAGTCCAGAATGTCACTGGCTGGGTTCACACATCACTCTCAGCCAGGTTCTCTGCAAGAAACGACAATTGGCCAAGATCACCCAACGTGCTCCCTCTCACCCAAACCATGGCAAGGCGGCAAGCCATTATGTAACCATGGCTTAACCCTGGCCTTGTGGATCTGCGAACCTCCATGGATAGCAGCTGTGCAAAAAATGTGAACACACCATTTGGAGGGTTAAATGGTTTTCTCACCACCTTTTTATCCCCCTTATGGCTGCCTCCGTCACTTGTTTCCCCCTGGAATAATTCCTACACCACCCCCACTGTCCCCGATTTCTTTTGCGCTTCTTGCCAACTCCAGGCTTAGCAAGTTACACTAGCAAGCAGTTGTTTATTCCGACACCCGCTTAGCCAAGCTATGGCTTAAGGCACCGTTTGAACTCGACCACTGCATCGGTCAATTAAACCCTAAGATTTCTCTCCACCTTTACAAGTTATGGCCGCAGGTGTGGTCCAAAAAGTCAACATGGAGGCCCCGGCGGTGCAAGCAAAGCTCTGCTTGCCACACACATAAAAACCAGGCAGAGCTTCGCTCCCACCGACGGGGCCTCCATGTTGACCTTTTGGACACCTGCGGATGTCCCTTTCCCCACGCGTCTCTCCTCCTGGCTTCCTCTGACTATGACCTGGGGCGAGATTTCCTTCATTTTTGCGCAAAACAGCAAGCCTTTCCTCGCGCAGAAAACCGACGGCCCGTAACTCGCAGCTTCGCTGGCCTTTCTGCGCGCGGCGGCGGTCGAAAGCGGACCCTCCCGCCGCGCGGACGGTCGGAAAGCGCTGGAAGGGATGGGGCAAGACTCAGGACGAGGAGGGCGGCTCCCCTGCTTTTTCTCCAGCTCTGGCACCTTGGCGTGCATCGTGGCAATACACCCGCGGCTGGCAGGGACGGGGCACGGCGGGGGCCGGGCGACGCTTCCTCAAGCGGCTGCGCCGCTTGCTGCTTTGAGGGCGAAAGCCCGACGGGGTCCCCTCGGTGGATTCCTTGGTGCTCCCTGAGCTCGGCTGGCTGCTCGCAGGCGTCCTCCTGGGGGCTCTTGCAGACGCGCTTCTCTTGGGGTCACCTCTGTCTGCTCCCGGCCTCGCCTGCCCGTCGCTCCCGGAAAAGCTCCGGACCCCTGCCTGGAAACGCGCGGCGGGGCTGAGCCGCCTCACCCAGACCCTCGCGCCTGAACTCGGCTTGCCTTTGCTGTTAAGTGTTAGCTCATCCGACGGAGATCTATCCGTAACCATCTCCTCGACCTTGGCAACTTTGAGACGGGGGGACTTCAACTCCCAGAATTCCCCAGCCAGCTTGTTGAAGCCCACCCGTCTTAAAGTTGCCAAGGTTGAGGAACCCTGATCTACAGCAAACCACGAATCACGAGTTGTGTGAAGACGGCGGGTATGGATGGGACGGGGGGAAACCGCTTGGAGGGGCCGGCGCGGGGTTATTTCAGCCTTCCCTTAAAACCCCCCAAAAGTCCTGGGGTCGACTGACCAGCGCAGCGCGTCGCATCCAAGCGCTCCCCCGCTCGCGGGCAGACCGGGGCTCGTTCCTCCCCTCGCGCCAACCCCGCCCCGGACGGGCTGGGCCGGGGGCCCCTGCGCCCCCCAACCCCCCGGCGCCTTCCCCCCAAGC